ATAGAGCCAAAGATGTTAGAATTGTGTCGATGTCCCAATATTTCTGGACCTGACTGTAAGTAGTTATAACAAATATAATAACAGTAATCAGACTGTTCTTGGATGAATAATGAAAAGAGGAGAAGAATTCTGGATGTAGTGGAGCCTGTGACTGTGTGGAAAAACAACTGCAGATTTGTGGACTTGAGATGGGTCACTTACCCCAGGATGTAGAAGACTGGTCTGAGATTTAATGAGTGGATTTGTTTATCAGGGTTTGTGTACAATTAAGCATAAAAAGCACTGTATGTGTATGTAAAATAATATTTACACATTAACACTACTAATAAAATATATGCAAGCACATGCTAAAACTACAAAATGAATGTTGTTTCACACCCTGCTCCCACCTGTGCCAAAGAATGGAGGAAGAAAGAGGGGAACATACTTGTCATTCTATGTTCTAAGGAAGCACATTAGCCAGAAGTAGCTCCAATAAATGAAATACTTAGTGTTATATTAGGCAACCTTGTTTGACTGAAGAATTTTGAGAGCATATTGTGGGATTTTAGGAAAAAACTAGGAAAGTAGGATAAAGGCCAGTTGACAGAAAGATTATATGAGGCACTATAGTATTCTGCTGCAAACACATTCAGGTTAGTTCCTAGGAAGGAGTAGTCCTAAAATATTCACAGTGCCTTGAGGGACCTTTTCCCTACTAATTGATGAAACAGGAGATGACTTTCATTCTACTAAATGAAGTAAAGGTTAACTGGACCCTTGTAAGACAGACTGAATTGAAGGAGAGAAAGGAAGAGAATGAAAAGGCAGTTAGCAACTGGATAGAATAAAAAGAGAAGAGGAAAAGGATAAAATGAGAGAAAGGCAGAAAAATACTTGTACCACTTTTGACAAGCTTTGTGTAACTGAGTACTTAGAAAGATGGACTGATGGACCTCTAAACAGACACAACTTTTAATCCTATAGTTTCTTTTCATAATCATTATGCTGTAAAGTTTTAATGGTTTATAAACTATTGTATGTTCTACAACAATGTCTGGGAGGGAATCCTGTCTTCATATCCCTAGTGAAAGCAGGCACATAAAATAGTTGCAGACTTTTATTAGTTTCTTAAAATGTCTTTAACTTTAGTTGACAACTGTGGGTATACTCTTGTAGACCCTAAATATATTATGATCTAGTTTTGTAAGCTAACCGTTATATTTGTTTATAGCTTGCAGATCAGTTTTGTAATGCTATTGGGGTATTGCAGCAATGCGCACCGCCTGCATCCTTCAGCAATATACAGACTGCAATAAACAAAGATCAACCTGCTAATCCTACAGAAGGCAAGTCAAGTGTATCATCTTTTTTATCTCTTCTGTTATACCCAAGTGTTATCTGTGAATGGGGTGGTGCCCTTACATGCATCTGAGAGGAAGTGTAGATGCCATGAGTGAGGGCCCTTGAAGGTTTACATAATGATTAGCTGCTGCTCAAGAGGGACATTTTGCCTGAGATTCCTTTTCTTCCTTTCCTGTCAAATTACTTTTCCAGTTCTATTCTTTCCTTTTTCTTTCCTTCCCTTCCTGTTACCTTATTGCCACTTCCTTCTTTTTTGTGGTTTCTGCTGGAAGGAGGCAGAGGAATGTGTATATATAATTATATGTGGGAGAGAAGGAATGATATATGTGCACATGGGAATCAATGTTTTTGTCCTGGCCTTGCTCTTTTTTTTTGGAGTGTGATAATACATGAATAATGTAAGCAAGTGTGTCACATGCACACATTAATTTTCTGGAGGAAATCCCCAAACTTGTTTTCAGTTGGCATCAGTGGGTTGGTAAGTGGGAAAGCTGGGCATTGCATAGAATTTTTGTCCAAGTTTATAATTTCTGACTACTGTGCCATACGGAAGTCATTTCAATTCAGGGCCTACTTTCTTTTGAGTTAGTGTGGCAATGGCTAGTATCCTATTGCAATGTATATTTGATCGTAAAAGTCTACATTACTATCAACTTTCCAGTCTTGCATCTGAGCTGAATCCAGAAACACTTCATTTTGCTTGATGAAGATGTGCAGGTGCTAGAAACTGCAGAGATTGCTTCTGTACACAAGGATTGTTGTCTGATATAATCAATAAATTGGGGACAACTCTCGAGAGTGAAACTACAGGTTGAATAACTTCTGAATGTACAAGTTCCCATTGAAAGAGTTGGCTGGGGCTGTTTGATAAGATGCATGTCAGCATTTCAAATGTTTCTCTCTGAGCATGTTAATTGTTATTAGAGTTTATTTGTAAAATAGCTGGTCTAAAAAACAGATAATACTTTGTTCCTCATGTATGAAGGTGTAGCCTGGTAGTAACTGGAGGAATCTTAAGCCTGTAGAGTAAGAGGATTAGGTATTTGCAAAAAAATCTGTGCACAAACCGTTCCATACATGGAACAGCTGGTTTGAGGGTGGTAGTACCAAAAGAAAAACACAGATTTGAGGCATTTTGATGGCTGCACAGAATGAAGCAGGGTTGTTCTGTTCTGGACAAAAGTGATTGGGGTGAAAAAAAACAATGGCCTTGGTGGCAGAGGGAAGGGAGAGTGCTGGAAATTTGAGAGGCTGGCTAGGCCAGGGTGTCCTGGGGGGTGGAAGGGTCAATCAATCACAGGATGGTTTAATTCACTCCCTCCCAAATGTTTGCAAGTTGACAATCCCGTCTTCATCTTTCTGAAACATTCTAAAAGCGTGAATGTAAGAAGATGGATAGGAAACCTGTTAACAGCATTATGCAATCAGAAACGTCAAGATGTTGGCCACAACCATGGGATCAAAGCTTGCCTATTATGTGATGTGATGAAAGCCCAGCCCTTTTCCTTGTTTACATTACTGTTGCCTCCATCTTGACTTTTTTTGACCCTTTCCCTGTGGACACCCCTGCCAGTAGAATATGCCACACTTGGAACTGCTGACTGGAGAGAGGGGCAGCGCATACCAGCCTTGCCCTACCCATCCCATCCAAATTGCATTTTGAACCACAGAACTAGTTCACTCAATTGCACAGAGCTGTTGGAGGTTAGGCAGCATATAGGTGGTTGTTGTTATTGTTAGGTGGATAAAAATGCCAAATCCATTTTAAACATCTGGTAGACTGTGCAACCAACCATAATAATACTATCAGTCAATTTCAAAAGGCAGCTTTACTTGGAACAGCTTATATCCTGTGACGATACCTTTAACAGCATCAAACAACAACATCT